ATATGGGAAAATGTATGCAAATACAACTTTCATGGGCAGACTATCTGAAATGAATTTGCAATCACTGAGTGCAATGTGGGTGCCATCTTACTCCCCACCTTCCACCCAATTAGTCATAGTTACAAGTATGTCACAAATAGAGGTCTTTTAAAATAATGGAACCATCATGATACTTAGCACCACTTTAGCTAAGGTGGAGTAACTTATCCAGACAGACCCATAAGTACATGATGAAAACAGATTCCACCACCACCACGGCCTATGCACTTAAAATGTCAATAAGGGAAATTTTTGGGCCAGACAATTTAATATCAGATCAGCCCCTTTGAGGCAGCTTTTTTCCATTCACATCAAATGTGTGTGTGTTGTCTGTGTGGGGAGTTGTTGAAATCAGAATTTGTTAAGTTGGGGACAAAGTAGATTCCATTTACAATGTCAGGAACAGCAAGCAGCTCCGATTGGAGTGTTCTTACCACCAAGGACACGCTTTTGAAATCACTCAGTAAAACTGACTAACAAAAGAGTTGTTAACCAAAGTGTTCCATCTATTGCATTTGGGAAAGATGTTTATTTAAAGTGAGAGGCTTGCTGTCTTCTTTTTCTTCACCTTTCAGTTTCATACAATTTTGTTTGATGTTTATGGTATTTTTTAAATGTAGCAGAACTGCTACTGTTCTTAACCACCTGTTTCCTGTTTTAGGATGCTGAGCTGTATCTGATGCATGCAATGAAACAGTTAAAAAAAGGGTGATCTTGAAAGATAGGCAGCACCAGCTTTGGATCCAAGAGGTTTAAGCCCACCCCCATCCCCATATAAGTATCATGTTCCTTGCTCTGCTCCTCAAAACCATTCAAAAGCAAGACATTTTGATAGAAATTATAACTGAATAATATGGACCTAAAATGGGAGATAAGTTTGAATGGAGTTAGTACAATCATTGACAAGCTTAGATTCCTAGAATCATGGAACCTTAGAGTTGGAAGGAACTGTAAGGGCCATCTGTCAAGTTAACAATTTTTAAACCACTCTGGGAGCCTTTTTTGCTTAAAGTCACTACATAAATACACTACATAAATAAACAAGCCAATCAAGTTCAACCACCTACTGTGCAGGAACACACCATAAAACACTTCCAAAATTTGTCCATTCAGCTTCTGCTTAAAGGCCTCCAAAAAGAAAGATCCGCTATCCTCCAACAGGGATGGAAAGAATATTTGAAAATATTTGAAAAGTCTTGAGAAATCCTGACAAGAATAATCCTTGATTAGGCTGATGAGAAAATTTGCACAAGGCTAATTTGCACAAAGAAAAGTCCCACTTATAACATTTCCTGCACAGACAATGGCATTTTATGCCCAGAAAATAATATCCCTGTGTATATTATTTTTCTGTGCTGAAAAAAGCTGTTTCCTATACAGACAACAGTCCAGGATCATAAATCAAGTACTCACAGCAGCAGATGCAGGTCAACAGGTAAACCATATGTCTGCTTCCAGCAATACAAATCAAGGAAGGCTCCTGGCCTATAATGTGGGCCTGATCAACCACTCATCTTGCAGACTATATTTCACAGTTGTGCATGCATAGCCTCTCACTACACCTGCAGAGGAGGGTTTAGGTTTGTGCCTGCATCGTTCCCAGGACTTGGAGCTCTTTCTTCTAACTCTTCCTCTTAAAACACACCCTGGCTCTTTCTTGTATTGTGTTTGCTTGGACTAGGTACATGTCAGGGTACAGCCTATATTCCAAGGTGGGCTGTCAGCGCCAGGACAATGGATGGTAACCTTTAAAGAGTCTAATGGGCCAGTGGACAGAAGGTAGGTCAGGAAACAACCCAAGTCTAAACACAGTAAATCTGGGTTCCAAGAGTCCAATGGGTCAAAGGAAAGAGGCAGAGTCAAGGAGTAGGCCAGTCTAAACACAGCAAGAGGCAAGAATCAGAGTCAGGAGACTGATCTGGTTTAAACACAGTAAGCTAACAATGGAGTTTATCACACAGAAAAAAAAAACAAGTTTAAAATGGTAATAAGCCATGATTAACTC